TGCTGGCTTGTCGTTTGGTATCGGTAATGTTTGCAATCGCAAAGTACGACTCAAGGGTCTCCCTGAAATAGCGGAAATCTTCGCCCTCATAGCCGCAAAAGTCGACGAGTCTCGGCTTGTAGCTCAATGTATCGGTGCCATGTGCCAACAGAGGTATGTCGGATGAGGATCCAACATAGTCGTCGGTTTCGCGAGAGGTTCGAGGTGCGTACTTGGATTGACTGCTCATTTTGCTGTTTGCTTGGTTTCTTATTGTTGGTTGGATTTAAGGTAATGTTTATGGGTTGTATATGTGTGGTTTTCTTATTATTGTTATTTTGTGGAGAGTATGTTTGAAGGGTTAATAAATGTTTGTTTTGTGATTTATTGAGTTGTTATATGGGCCGTTTCTTGTTAAACGATCCCTCTAGTGAGCACCAAATGTAGTATCGCAGAGCGTCGGCTATACTCTGGATACAATGGAAATGAAGTGAGAATAAAGGAAAAAGGCAATTTATGGGCCTTAAATGAGCTATCAAAGCTGATCTGATGAGAAGTAGAAAGAAGAAGTGGGAGTTCAAGATTCGGGGATGTTTACGTCCGAAAGCCACTTAAGAGATTCTTTATTAAGAAGAAGAGTTAAGAAAAAGAGATAAGAGATGAACTGAACTGAAATCGAATGGAAAGAAAGGGGCCATTTATACTAATTGATGTGTCGGTTTCTAGCTATGTGATTCGTGGTTTGCTAATGCTAATGCGACAAAAGCTAATGCTAATGTGATAAAAGCTAATGCTAATGTGATAAGAGCTAATGCTAATGTGATAAAAGCAAATACCAAGTTGACATTAGCAAGGAACCAATAAGAGTGCGCGAATTTATGTGGACGAAATCGAGTATGGTGGCAAGAAAGAAATCTTTATTGTAAGCGGGGAATTGTCACTACAATATAAAATAACACCTCAAAATACCAAGCGAAATTTATCTGCTATATTTACAACACTTTCACAACAATCAACACAACATGGATCAGATTAACTTACTAACATTTCTTGCTATAATGACTGAATTTATTCCTATTTTAGGAATAACCTTGATGCTCCTGATTAAAAGAGCTAAACATCTTACTGAACATCACCAATATATTAATGATGTTAACATTATCATTGACCAACTAAAGGATGAACTAGAAAAAGACTTAAAAAATACAAAAATTGACAAAAAAACAAAGGACCAAAGCCGATCAAAGATCATTGGTAGAATTAGGGCATATGTGAGATTCCTCAAATCCTCAAATCCTCAATTTTCCGATGCAATGTTAAATGATAACACTTCCAGTGCGGCTACCTCACAGGGTGAGAAAGAATTCTGCTTTCAAAACACTAAGGGCTTATTCACATATATTTGTAAAAATTTCCATTTAACAAAGGAACAGATATTAGAATGGTTTACTAAACATGACCGTATTGGTTATAAAATTGAAAAGGCAATTGCATGTGATGAAATTGCACCTGAAACAGGCAAAAAACATGTGCATATATGGATACAATTAGATGAACGATTTGATACTAAAACCGCACGTACGTTTTTCACTATTGATGGTATCACTCCAAATATTAAACCAGGCGGTAATCCACAAAAATCTATCAGTTACTGCATTAAAGGAAATAATTATATTGCTTATAATATGGACCCAAACTACGAAATCAAAACTAAAAAAATGCATCAACAATTACTTAGCTATCAATTAATTAACAAGCAGCTTACTATGAGAAAGGCAACAGAAATATATCCAGAATTACTATGGAAATATGATACAGTAAAGTCTAATCTTAATAGCTATTTTCATGATGCTGACATGGAAAATACTCCTAGAAATGATTTGTATATGTGGTCTATGTTTGGTATTGAAACTATGTTTAGCGGTAAAAACAAAATACCACAATACTGGATTATTGGTCCATCAAATGTTGGAAAAACATATAACATTGATATGTTAGAACAAGGTGGACACAGGGCATATCTAATGAGTAAAGACAATGATTGGTCAGATTATAAAGATGATGATTATGACTTTATGTATAATGAGGAAACTGGTTCTGATTTCAAACTAACATTTTTAAACCAAATGTTAGAAGGAACACGACTAAAACTTAATGGCAAATTTACCAAATCAATCATAAAAAAAAAGAATATACCAATACTATTAAATAGTAATTATATGCCCCATATGCTTTATAAAAATAAATCAGTATATGAGTTAAAGCCAACACTTAGCCGTTTATATATAATCTATGTTGATAAGAATCGCAAAGGTCATATCATATGGAATCCATATACAATGAATGTTAAAGATTATGAAGATAAGTTCATGTATTATGAAAATATGGATATATATGAGGACTTATATAAAAATGAGTATAGAAATGAATACCAAGACCAGCATACATTTATCCGATATGCAATTAATAGTGGCCAAGATGGTGTTAAAAAGTATAAACCTATGGATAAAACAGTAGAAGATTTATAAGAATTGGCTGATTCAGATAAATATATGAAAACACAAGAGGAAAAATATAATAATAATAATATACAAAATAACAATCAATATGAACCACCTCAACAAACAAACAGAGGATGGTCAACTGTAAAGGTACTACCATCAGCAGATTGTAGGCATTGGGAAGATGTGTTTAATGATATAAAATGTGATGATGTTATAAATGATACTACTGATTGGGAAAACCCACCAGAAGATATAGAGAAACATAAATACATAGATGTAAGTACATCTGAATCAGAGAAAAGCAGTGACTGCAACATACCAAATAATATACCAAAACGTAAAAAGAAAAAAAGACACAATAAAAATAAACGGAGAAACAAGCAAATAGTAGAAGAAATACAGCCAAAAGAATATTTTAAAAAGCATAAGGATATAAAACAGGCTATAATAGATGATATAAATATAACAAAAGAAACTGACGTCAAAAATAAATCAACAGATACTAATATAAGTACAAGTATAACTAATGAATGCATAAAACATAAATATAATTGGGCAAGTAAACGAAAGGTTGATACAGCCAGTTTCAATATGAGATTTTTTAATAAGCAAATAAGTAAGAAATTAATTTAGAGCTGAATACCATGTGTGGCCATATATTCATGTAGCATTTCCCGGGAATTAAACTTATCAACTGTTAACCAACTATTATCCTTTACACTATATCCAACCCACTTAACCTCAAATATGTACTTATTATTAGTATACACATGTCCTACAATCTTCTCAATTTCATATGAATTACTATGTTCTATATTTCTCTGTTCTCTTTGATTTTTTCTCTTACGTTTAGATGTATTATTTTCAGTTTCGTCCTCACTATCTATAGCCATATCTATTGATTGATTAATGTCAAGCTGTAGAAATTTCTGCTGCATGTCAACCATTTCGTTATATTCAGTATTTACTTTTTGCTCATTTGAAAATACTAAGTCAAGTTTGTTTTTCTTACTTGGGAATTCAAAATCTTTCCCATACCATAATTTATGATGTGGTTGTACCTCTATATTATACTTATTTACAAATCGCCATATATTAGTAAGAATACAAGCAACACGAAACTGAATATTATAATATCTTATATCGGTTATTTGCAATGCTGCACGATTATTATTAAATCGTTCAAATTTAGAGCCTAACATAGAGAACTGTGCTTCTATTGCTGAACGAAATGATCCAAACTTGTTATTAAAGTATGTCTCATTGATTGTTAACTTTTGTCCTGGTTCTTTTCTTATAGGTTGTAAAAAATTACGATCATAAAACCTATATCCAGCATCTGTCGCATTATCTTTAAACTTTTGATAAATAAGTTATATCCACCATCCATTCCTAAACAATCTGCCTCACTTATTTTTTTATATAGTTTCATATTAATAAACATAGTACCATCATTTCCGATAGCACATTTTTCAGATACTGAAACATGTGTAATTATTTCATTCATATCCTGTATAACTTATGTACGTACAGCTGGCCCTTTTAATTTATATGAATATAACTGTGAATGTGACTCATTTGGTTTATAATACTTTATTTTACTATCATGTCCATCAATAAATAGTGTAACATTCTTAAAACCATCTGGATTGTTTATTATTGCTGATAGAATGCGAATACGTGGTGATGAGAACATACCATCTAGATCTTGTTTTACCTTTTTATTCAATTCATTATAGTTAGTAATCCAGAACCGCTTATATAAATCATAAATGTTGCATATGGCATAACAGTATGCATATCCTTTCCTGATACACCTGATACCATATGATATAATAATGCAAGTCCTTTTTCAATCTCGCGGTATGGCCCTGGATATTCAATATTTCCATATAAAATGTAAGAAAATAAAATACAGGTATAAATCCAAATCTATTAAGTAATACATCTTTATATCATTTATTGTATTATTCTTCATATCTTTAATAGCTGTTCTATGATTAAATCTATGTTGCATTTCAGGCCAAGATTTATCAAGAAAAGTCCATTTATAATCAATTAAATTTTTAATTTCAATATCGAGTTGTTCAGTGTGTTGTGTTGTGTTCATTTTTATTTATTGTTATGTACTTTAAACAATCGCTTTTTTTTTCTCGTGGGAGGCTACCAATATAAATAAAAAAATTCAATTTTTATTATTTTTATTGTAAATCAATAATTATTTCGGCCACTGATGGTTATACCGACTATAGCAATTTTATTATCTATATTACAGCTAGTAGGTTATAATTGGTTAGACAACTAATAGCAGGACGCCACCCCTTCAACGCCCTTATCACCGCAAGCAAGCGAATTGACAGCGTTACGCATCATCTGGAGTGCGGGCTAAACACAGTAAACTTTGTGGTACCTCCACGGTCAACATATAAATTATACCTGGACTCGCAATCATGGTCCGATTCTTTGGCACTTGACAATAATGACAATTCAAATTCCATTTATACCCACTCCCGGCACATGCAGCTGCGACAGCTCAAAACAAAATTTCATGATATACAAACGTACTATTTATCACGATCTTTACTATTCCATGGACACCTTCAGCAGCCGATCACGGTGTTCACATACGGCAAAACGACCACATCGCTCAATTCCGGAGTCTTGGCATCGAAGTTATTGGCTGCCTTGTCAACCGCGGTCATGAGGGAAGGTGAAAATGCCCATTTGAGCAAGAACGACGTGGAAAAGCTTACAGCCCTATTCACCAAGGATACCAAGACCAAGGACGTTTTTCTACGTATACTCAGCTTGTTCGAAACTGATGCCTCCATTCCTATCATCGGAAACTCAGTGCTGAATTCTTTTGCCGAGGAGTTGGCCAACTCGTTGTCGCCGTATATCTCTACTGCAAACAAAAAATATGTCATCCCTTCCCTAACCGACCATCTAAAATCCTACCAATCGTCACACTTCAAATCTCTAAGCACAGTATAAAACCAAAACAACTATATCCATTATTTTTTTCCATGTATATCAATTCCATCCCCTTCTTTTTCCACCTCCATTTTCTATCCATTATAAATACACATTATATACTTTCTGGTGACAAACAACTCGTATAAGCTTACAAAATGAGAAAGAACTTAGTATATAACCACATCTGTGAACTGTATATTAGTGGACTATCTGATTGGAATACACATGCTTTTATGGCCTATAGGTTACCTGTATTTGTCTGACAAAGTGTTCAAAAGAAGTGACTAAATGCCGGTTTTGATACGATACAAAGGGGATAAATGGAGAAGAAATACAACAAGCAAAAATAGCTACAATAAAGCTTCGGCAGCGATGGCTATAGGTATAAAGGGGCTATGAATCGATATGAAGGCCCAGTGGGCAGACCATATTGCTTGTAGGATGGCAATGTAGAGAAGAGTTGATTGAGTTTGTGCGGTGACCCTGCCAGTAATTGAAACTGTGTAGAGACGCTGGTAGAGAATAAAGCCCGTTGTGGATTAAGCACTGTGCCGTTGCACGGAGTAAAGCCCGTTATGAACTAAGCACTGTGCCGTTGTGAAAAACTCAAGTCCCATTGTGGATTAAGCACTGTGCCGTTGTAAAGAAATTAAGCCCCGTTGTGAATTATGGCCTCATCCCAGTTTTTTAACGCTTCTCGAGCTGCTCAAAAAACTCATCCTGTTTGACTGAACGTTTTGACATATCAAAGAGTATAATGTTTTCTTCCGTGCCTCGTCGAAGTAAGCGGGATGATATCGGTTGACCGTCAGCTGCCATGCTGCCAAGTGTCATTCTTGAATCTTCAGAGACGTGTTTGCTAAGTTGGGTAATCAGTCGGCCTCGTTTAATTTCCGGACATGGTTGGGTTACTGCTTGAGCATATATCTGGTTTTGAATGGCTTGGGTGGATTTTCTATGGATTTGTTAAAGTCACCACTAGAAGTGGCCCCACGCGTTTTTTGAGAGAGCCATGGAATATGAGAAGCCTTTCATGCAAACGAATCCATATTTGAACATCCGCCGAGATGGTCTCGGCCAATGAACAGGTGCCATACGTTTTACAAACGGCATATTTGCAACGTGCCTTACTGCTTTCTTTCTTGTGGGTGAGTTTCCACTTTTTTATTTCATGTCTGCTTTCCTATCAACCATGGCGAAACAACTGCGAGTGATCGCTCCAAAAAACGCGCGTCGATGTTTGCAGACTTCTATGACGTTGTACCTGTTGCTTTAACCGATGAGGATGGTAGCGAAGTGGATTTGATCTTGTCACCAAGCCACATCGAACAACTACAAACTATGCTTGCAAGACCACAACAGATAACCTTGACGCGTCCAACTCAAGAGCTGTCCCCGGTCAATATGTTTCCTACACGTGATACTGTTCACAGCCTTGGTGAAAAGGGTGCAATCTCGAATTACCTGTCAAAGCGTCACTATATCGAATTGAATAAAGAAATTACTGAAACACTGAATCAAGACTGGGAAATCAAGCCCAACCAGTGTTACATGGTTGCAAGAGCACTCAGTAGATCAGTCATGCTGGACTCTGAAAACCATCGTGGTCTCCTCATTCTGTCATTGGAGGTGTATGGCCGCGATCCTGAAATTGAAAGCCACGCTGAGCAACGAAGCACTGTCGACTCCACCCACTTATCAACATTAGTCCCGTCGATAGACTGCAACGATTTCGCGATAGGCACGCTGCACCAAACGGAAGGAAAGAATGTCTCTGTCAAGCTTATACTTGGTGCCTACCAGGGACCAGCTATGGTTATGATGATTTTAATGCAATCTAGTAGCCCTAGCTGGCTTATTAGCTAAGATATATCAGGATAGCCAAATTAATTTTTATTGAAATAATTCATGCACGAATGTCTTAGCATGCATACATTTAAATTTTTGAAAAAAATAAAAATTGAATTTTTTTTTATTATATAAAATAACACCTCAAAATACTAAGCGAAATTTATCTGCTATATTTACAACACTTTCACAACAATCAACACAACATAGATCAGATTAACTTACTAACATTTCTTGCTATAATGACTGAATTCATTCCTATTTTAGGAATAACCTTGATGCTCCTGATTAAAAGAGCTAAACATCTTACTGAACATCACCAACATATTAATAATGTTAAACATTATCATTGACCAACTAAAGGATGAACTAGAAAAAGACTTAAAAAATACAAAAATTGATAAAAAACAAAGGACCAAAGCCGATCAAAGATCATTGGTAGAATTAGGGCATATGTGAGATTCCTCAAATCCTCAAATCCTCAATTTTCCGATGCAATGTTAAATGATAACACTTCCAGTGCAGCTACCTCACAGGGTGAGAAAGAATTCTGCTTTCAAAACACTAAGGGCTTATTCACATATATTTGTAAAAATTTCCATTTAACAAAGGAACAGATATTAGAATGGTTTACTAAACATAACTGTATTGGTTATAAAATTTAAAAGGCAATTGCATGTGATAAAATTGCACCTGAAACAGGCAAAAAACATGTGCATATATAGATATAATTAGATGAACGATTTGATACTAAAACTGCACGTAAGTTTTTCACTATTGATGGTATCACTCCAAATATTAAACCAGGCGGTAATCCACAAAAATCTATCAGTTACTGCATTAAAGGAAATAATTATATTGCTTATAATATGGACCCAAACTACGAAATCAAAACTAAAAAAATGCATCAACAATTACTTAGCTATCAATTAATTAACAAGCAGCTTACTATAAGAAAGGCAACAGAAATATATCCAGAATTACTATGGAAATATGATACAGTAAAGTCTAATCTTAATAGCTATTTTCATGATGCTGACATGGAAAATACTCCTAGAAATGATTTGTATATGTGGTCTATGTTTGGTATTGAAACTATGTTTAGCGGTAAAAACAAAATACCACAATACTGGATTATTGGTCCATCAAATGTTGGAAAAACATATAACATTGATATGTTAGAACAAGGTGGACACAGGGCATATCTAATGAGTAAAGACAATGATTGGTCAGATTATAAAGATGATGATTATGACTTTATGTATAATGAGGAAACTGGTTCTGATTTCAAACTAACATTTTTAAACCAAATGTTAGAAGGAACACGACTAAAACTTAATGGCAAATTTACCAAATCAATCATAAAAAAAAAGAATATACCAATACTATTAAATAGTAATTATATGCCCCATATGCTTTATAAAAATAAATCAGTATATGAGTTAAAGCCAACACTTAGCCGTTTATATATAATCTATGTTGATAAGAATCGCAAAGGTCATATCATATGGAATCCATATACAATGAATGTTAAAGATTATGAAGATAAGTTCATGTATTATGAAAATATGGATATATATGAGGACTTATATAAAAATGAGTATAGAAATGAATACCAAGACCAGCATACATTTATCCGATATGCAATTAATAGTGGCCAAGATGGTGTTAAAAAGTATAAACCTATGGATAAAACAGTAGAAGATTTATAAGAATTGGCTGATTCAGATAAATATATGAAAACACAAGAGGAAAAATATAATAATAATAATATACAAAATAACAATCAAGATGAACCACCTCAACAAACAAACAGAGGATGGTCAACTGTAAAGGTACTACCATCAGCAGATTGTAGGCATTGGGAAGATGTGTTTAATGATATAAAATGTGATGATGTTATAAATGATACTACTGATTGGGAAAACCTACCAGAAGATATATAGTGTATTTCATCTATAACCGCCAATGTTTTAATTTTGAGATTTCAAATGCCGCTTCTTTATTTGGTAATATTCAAATAATAGTAGGGAAATCGTCACGACGGTGTGAGCTGTAAGTTTGGGAAGTATATCTTTCCACAAGAGTGATAGCTTCAGGAGTTGGTAGTTCTTGGGAATAAGCGTCTATAAAACGCCACACCCTTCCATAAAATCGTCTAATTAGTGTAGGTACTTCGTCTGGGGGCGAAACAGTATCTAGGAACTTTGGTAAGTTTTCTTTCAAAGCTTTAAAACTGTAATCACAATTGATTCGTGCATGGTACTTTGCTTGGCCCCAATATCGTTCGATCCAATTGCACTCGTAATGGAATTTTGGATATAGCTCAAAAATGTGACCCGCGTTCTCCACAGCTTCACAAAGGGCTGTCTTTTGATCTCGAAAGTCGGGCTGAGCACCAAGAAAATGTCTAGCACAACACTTGCTATCGTCCGCTTCTTCTTTTTTGCAATCCATTCGCCAAACTTTTCCAGGTCTATACAGGTCTTCCTCAAACCAAAGTCCACGCTCATTCAAAATGATTTTTATCCCCTTGAAATGGCATACTTGCTGTTTGTCGGCCGTGACTATCGTGACACCTCGCTTGCGTTTCTTAATGTTTTCTTCGATATTCATGTACATCCTTTGTGTTTTCTTTTCTTTGGTTGCTTCATCGATAAAGTAGCTGTCCCGATACACGTGCATGCTGCAGTCATGCTCTGCGTTATCCACTCCACACCGCTTTGGATCCTTGCACATAGTTCTCGCCAGTAATGCATCACTTGGGTAAGCGTTATGATTACTACTTTGATCGAATATAAATAATGCTTGACAACCAGGGTGCAAAAGGTCAAATAGTGGGATCGCATCTTCTTCTAACTGCTTAACCATGTCTTTGCTGGTCCAATACTGTTCTCGGTTAGCCCCTGCATAGAAGTATGTACGCGAGGTCCATATTCCAGATCGCATTGTGCCATGACACGCGCATTGGAACTCGGATATCATAATGGATTGTCCAGGGCTTTTGTTGCGTAGGATACTCTCGCCGTCTGCCAGCCATAGCTTTTGTTTACCGTCGTTTGCATAGAAGGTTGACTCATCATGGGTAACCATAACAATTTTCTTTTGATCAGGCGCTAAAGATGGCTCAATGATGATTTCTGCACGTTGTCCTTCGTACGAGTCCATCCGCTTCTTGTACTCCACCATTCGTTTAGCCCATTTTAATCGGTATGCTACCACGTCATCTCGTTCGTGCCCGTCGTAATATATATCCTTGCTGTTTTTGCGGTATCGATAACCCCACTCAGACATATATCGCCATAATGTCGTCTGTGATACTGAGCCTGGAACACCAAGTATCTCAGGGATGATACTTTCATTGATAACTTTAACAAAAGCAGGGAGGTTACGCAGTTCGATTTTTTGACCGCCTATCAATAGACGGATTCGTTCTTCCACGGACTCGTCACTGAGGAGTGATTCTCTTTTTACATGCTTCCCTTGTTGATGTGTTGAGATGGAACCAGAATCACGGAATTCGCGCGCCCAGTAGCGGATGGCCTTTGCCCTGTACTCTTTTGATGGGGTGGCCAGATATCGACAGCAGCTCTTTGAGAACTATCAATCCCTGTGACCGATAGTGATAGTACCGGTATACAGCTTGTGTTTTTGCCATTTGAAAAGCACCCATAGTATTGAGCGTGCTTCCTTTGTTCGCTACCGGCTTTATAAGTGCTTTTAAAGATGCTAAAAGCTGTGAGAGTTGCTCTCACCATCAATATTGGCGACGCTGTGGTTTTTGTGGAGAGCTTTAGAAGAGTTCTCTGAATGTATACACGGCGTTTGCGTCACCTTCGTGAAATAACTATCGACCTTTTTGCAACCTTCTGCAGCAGCTCTTGCTTCTGTTCGTCTTCGCCAGTTGGTCGTACGGGAGTCTTTGTTATATACTACACGCATGGATTTATCTGCATCGTCTTTCCAAGCCAGCGATAGTTTTGCAGCCTGTTGTAATATATTGTGCGTCAGGTCAAGGAGTTCCCAATCGTTGATATTATCGTCGTCGTTGTTGTCACTTAGTTCAGATCCTGCATCGACATGTGTAATAGTCGCTGGACTTTCCGAAGCTATGAATCTTCCATATTCATCGTGTTGTTTTCTCTTTGCGTTCTCTCTAGCGCTCTTCTGGCGCTTCCTAAGTGGTGGCATCTGGTAGAAGGAACAGGGTGTGGCCACATCTCAGCTCTTGCGAATAACAGTGTAAGGCATTAGATACTAACCAAATTAGGAACTTTCACGTGAGTATTATTTACCCAATATGCATGAGTGCGTTTCAATTTTCCCCTTCGCCTGCAAAATTTTCCTAAACCGGCAGACTTTGACGACTATCCTCTCCTTCCCAAAACATTTTTTAAGAAGTTAGCCAAATAGAAATAGACTAAAGATGCTTAAGAAACAATTTATTTGGTTGCTTTTGTGGTAAACTTGTTTTTGGGGGTGCTGATAGCTTTCAATTTTGGGGAAAATTTTGGCGGTTATAGATGAAATACACCATACGGTATGCCATTGTTGTCAAATTTCTTCCATTGTTGTAGTAGCAACTCATCAAGAAATATAAATATCAATTTGTTTATTTTTTTGACATCATTGTTTGAGATCAGCTTGTCAGAAAAAACTATGCCGATAGAGCCAAAATTAGGTAAGTATTTTTCATCAGTTTAGGTTTAAAGTTTTATGTCTCAATATAGAGGATAATTGGACCGATGCCTATGAGCATGCGGTCACTTGTTCGAGATACAGTTGTGTTAAAGAGATATTTGTATATGAGATTGGAATGCAACAGCTAAAAGAACCCGTGTAGCGGAATATTACATGCTAGCGTAGAATATCATAGTGCTCTAAGTGTGGATGGCGTAGACTACTTTAACGGAGTGCATATGCAAGGTACAGTAATATAGATGGAAGGAAAAAAATAATGTCAATAATGCTGTAGTGTTTTCATTAGATTAAACAGCAGTTAGATGAATGGGTTGCTCTACAACGGCGACTGC